AGTTGCTGGCGTTCCCATCCATGTGCCGTCCACAAAATGCACACCTGCACCGTGGGAAGGAGGGGGTGCTTCTCCTTTACTGTCTCATTTCTAAAAGCCTCTCTCTGGGGTGTCCTTTAAAAATTTTCTTGAGAATTTTGACAATAAATAACAAAAAGACACTAGTCACAGCATAGACAAACTGTCAGGTATGAGGCCACATCTCTGTCTCCTGCAAATCAATGCTGAGATTCCATGAAAGCCTATTCACCATGACCCAGCTTTCAGAGAGAGCAAATCCGAGAGAGATTTAACGCTCTCTCAGACCTCCCTTTAGAATTGATCTACCACCCCCCCAGTGGTAATTTATAGGCATTTCTCTGTTTTAAATAAATAAGGAATCCCGGTGTCTTAGCATTGGTTCTTTAACTGGCCACTACTGTAGCTGGGAGGGACAGAGACAGCTCTACCCACACCACACAGAACATCCTGGCTCCCCTTCCCTTAGAAATGGGAATAAACAGAGGAAGGAATGGAGATACAGATGTAGATGTCCACAGAGGTTATGTTGGAGTTCGGAGCACTTTAAATTGGGTGGAACTGGGATGGGGTTGGGAGCAGGGAGTGCTGTTGAGTGCGTTTGCGTGGAGTGGGAGAATTATGGGCCATCTCAGCACCAGTCCACAGGAGGTGGAGCTGAGCACCAGCTCTGTGAAGTCATGATGTGCTGTGGCTACCTACAGCCATTAATGGAAAGGCAATTGCAGGGGAAGGCCCAAGATAAACCTCTGGGCTCAGCTAGTGTATGGTTGGGTAGGCCAGAGGCTTGGAACCCACGGATTTGGTCCCATGTGGCTTGTGGAGGTTAAGGAAAGTGGGGATATAGGACAGGCCAAGCCTTAGTCCACCCGAGTCCCTGAGAGGACCACAGAGCAGTGTCTAGCCTAAAGGCCTGGTCCTGTGAGTACCCAGAGTTAAGTCACCATAGCTGTCTGTTCACCCGAACCTATATATACCTTGATCCTGATGGCCAGCCTCTACCTTCATTCCAGCTCCAGAAACCTGTCCCTGTCTTATCCCATGTGCCTGAGTCCCTGTTACAGTTCCCCAGGCCCCTGCTCCCGAGCCCTCTGTGATGGTGTGAGGACTGGCCTACTGATTGCTCTTATGCCAATTCCCCCATCCCCTCCCCAGACATCTGAGCTTAAGCTCCTCCCCAAATTCCCGACACCTTCAGGCCCCTCCTGACTATTGTACATACCTGTTACCTCTGGAAGGTTTCAGGGAGAAACCCTGAATGTACCCATCACGTCTGTCTCCATATGGTACCATCCTGGCAGAGACCCAGCTAGCTAGACTGGACCTCTCTCAGAAACTGAGGGTTCAAGGCCTGCTGTGCTGTGCAGCATCACTCTTGGCTCTCATTAACTGGGCTATAATAGCTCTGTCCTGGCAGTCTTCTAGACCTTATAGGCAGATTTTGTTCCTTCAGGTTACAAGTTCAGTTGTTATTTTATAAAGAATCTTCTACCCTGGCAAGTGTAGCTCAGTGAACTGAATGCAGCCTCTAAACCAAAGGGTTACCAGTTTAATTCCCAGTCAGAGCACATGCCTGGATTGCAGGCCAGGTTTCTAGTAGGGGGCACGCAAGAGGCAACTACACACTGATGTTTCTCTCCCTCTCTTTCTCCCTCCCTTCCCCTCTCTCTAAAAGTAAATAAAATCTTTTAAAAAGTCTTCTGTGCATATACTGGGACTTAGGTCTTTTAGGAGTCAGAATTAGGAGGGCAAATTTCAAAAATTCCGTGGATTGGTTGGCTTATAAACAACAAACACTTATTTCTCATAGTTCTGGAGGCTAGAAAGTCCGGATGAAGGTACCAGCAGGTTCTGTGTCTGGTGAGAGCTCTCTGTCTGGTTCATAGATGGCCACCTTCTCGCTGTGTCCCTGCTCATGGTGGAAGTTACAGGGAACTTTCTAGGGACTTGGAAGGGAGATGCAAACACTGGGTCTATAGAACTACCCACTGATGACCATTGTTAATGTCTAATCCAGCATTCAGTAAGATTTACATATTTGAATATCAGTTCAGTGCCATAATCTTGACCCAAACATAGCCCAGGTCTCTCAGGGCTACCAGCCTTCTGTTTACAATATGGTCACCCTAATATTAATAACAGACGATGCCCTTCACCTGTGATTGAAGAGCCCAACCTCTTGCTAAGCCCATTGGACTAATTTTTAAGTTTCCCCCAGAGTGCCTAAGAGGTGGCTAAGAATTTGACCTTCGATATTCCAAAAAGGACCTTTTCTCTCTTCTTTTTTCCTCTTCTGGGCAGCTGCTGTCATTGAACCCCTGCCAAAACAGCCAGCGCTGCCTCTTCCAATGGGAAGAAGGGGACTGGGCGCCCACAGCTGAGCTGTCTTCACCACCACCAGCTTCCCCTCAGACGCCGCCATCATGGCCACTGACTGCGGAGCTTCCAGGGCTCATAGGAGCACAGATGTCTGGACTCAGTGCAGAAATGGGGAGTGTGTCACTCCCACGCTTTGGTGTCAATCATTCACACTGTGGCCACGCATGCCCTGTTTTCTTAGAGAAACTGTGGTGACACAAAGGCTTTTGTCTTTTGTACCTTCTGCTGTTTCTATTCACAGTCCCCATCCCCACCCTGAGGCCTCAATCGTGAGCCCACTGGGACCTGACCTGGGCGGTGCTCTTCCCAGCCAGGATTTGGTGCTGGGTTAAGACAGTGCATCAGATTTCCTGAGCTTTGCCCTTATCTTCCTGCAAACACATACTCTGAGGGATCACCAGAAGGCCTTTGTCATATCTAAATCCCAGCAGGGAACCACACAAAACCTCACCTCCAAGAAACGGCTGAGATTCCTGCAAAACTTCCACTCTAGCTCAGGAGGTCCTTCTCAGAGAGAGGATATCCAACACAGAGGTCAAGTTCCCTGGTCTCCTAGCTCAGAGAATAACTTTCCACTGTCAGGCTTCCCTTTGGGAGGAAAATCATGATCCCTTCCCTAGTCCCTTCCACCCCAGCTGTTAGTGCTCCTAACTGTCCCCACCTCTCCTGCTGCTCTGCACAGCCTCAGGGAAGAGCTCGCTGGCCCTGAGCCCCAGGTCTGTGGGTGTCCCCAGCTGAATCACAGCCCAGGGCAGTACTCCAGCTCATTGTCTGTTCTCTAGCTCCCTGCAAACCTCTGTCCTACATTTCTCAAAGATCAGGAGCTCAGCCCTTTATCCTGCCTGGAATGAACTGCTGTCTGCCTAGGGTGGAAAATTAAACCCACAGTTGACCTGTATCTCGGCAATTCTTTCTACAGAACCTTTTTATCGGCCTGTGTCAGTTGTGGTGATACTTGTACCCAAGCTGTCCCCGATAGCCCTCTCCCTCACCCAGGCTGTCCCCCCAGGCCTGCTCCTTGAACAGAATTGTCACTGTCCATGAGCCTACATCCCCACAGCACTGGGCCCTCTGGCCTGTCCCCAAACCCTGTGCAAGTGGAACGTGAGCCTCTCAGGGCTGCTGTAGACTCCTACAGCAATGGCCAACTAGTGGTGTTTCCTGAGACTACCACTCGGACCTGCTCCTCCGCCTGCTGCTCAGGGTGACACTGGTGCTGAGCAGGGTTAACTGACTTAAAGGAGAGAGTAAAACTTAAAGTTTCATTTTAACAATGGGACTATCATTGTAAAAATTAATGAGGATAACACATCTCTGAGCAGTAGATTGAAAAGGGGGGTGCCAATCATAACACCCCTTCTTCCCACCTCCAGCCCCACCGCCACCAGTCCTGGCCACAGGAATAAGACTATGCCTCCAAATGATTCGATTAGGGTCCTTTCCCAGAAGTTTTTAAATTTGAAATTCAAACAAGAGCAGTCTCTTTCTTCCCAAGGATGACCATGGAGTAATGGGGACCTCAGTGCTGACAGTGGTATTGGATTCTGCCCTCATGGAGAAAGCCAGTGTAAGATGCTGAGGCTGACAAGGAGAAAGAAAAGTTGAGACAGAGGGAAAAAGAGTCTGGCCACCTTAAAATACCTAGTTCCAGCCACCCAAGATAAGAATATTCCTCCGTCTATGGTAAGCTAAGACAATAAATTCTACCCCTGTTAGACTAGGGTTTCATCACTAGCAAATACGCAGTTCCCAGCTAATACGTGCTACCATTCATTTGGCAGTTTATTATACTCTGTTTTACTATTATTATAAATGTTTTTAAGCAAATGTCTCCCTTCCCCAACAAGAAAATCACTTTCTTGACTATGGCAGTTTTGCCTTGGACCCCTTCCTCTGGTGAACCCATCCTGTGCCTGAACTGTATTCAGTAACAGTTATAAAGCAGTACACGGTTAGGAATAGGAACAGTTAATGACAGGTAGAAGTTCTTGTTAAAGTACTTCTTTTTTTTTTCCTGAACTTGCACCCAGATGACCAGTCAACAGGAGAACTACCTATATAATCAGGAAATTCTCTCATATTATGCATTTTCTCTGAAATAGTGAAATTGCTTCCCTTCTATTTATGGGCTTAGAATTTCCAATTAGGTTCTCACTTCTGCTAAGATTTTCAATAAGGTTCATCTTTTTCTGGGTGATGGGTGTTCTAACAACCTCCTCTCCTCGCTCTGGGACAAAGTACATCATGAGAGTGTTTATTAAGGTCGAGTCTGCTGCTCTGATGAGCTAAAAGTCATGTAAGTGGTCCTCAAAACTGGATGCTTTGTTGGAGGGGATAGTTTCTTTCACCTCAGCAGCCAAGCCCCTGCACCGCCCTGGTTGCCCCGGTGTGTTGGCAGACAAATGGGCCTCTTGTCAGTGAGCAGCAGCAAAGATGGAGACTCCTATCCACAGACTAGCCTGCATGTGACCCAACTGTATTATCTGGAAATTTTCACACTGTAGGTACTCCACTTGAAATCCCAACAATTTCTTTCCTTCTACGTATTAACATAAACAATGCTTGATACCCCTTTGCTGTTTACAAAAAAGCAAACACTCATATATCTGTGAATGTAGTATTTATGTTTTACTACTGATTCTCAAAATTAGTTGGGACATTGGGAAAGAATTTAATTTGGCTGCTGAGTAGAAACCAAAGGACGTGTTTCTTTGAAAAGATGCAATCAGTGGGCTGATGCTTAAACACGAATATCCGCACAGATGGAAATCCCAAAGATGCCCAGAATCCCAGCCTTTGCACAGCCTTGAGCACCAATGTCATCTGAAAAGGGGACATTTTTGAAGAAAGAGCATTAAGAAATACATTATTAGAATGCAGCAAACTAATGCCTCTTGTCAATGTCTTGACTAGAGGCTGTACATGTAATTTCATGTCACCCAAGATTTTAGCTATACTTGTGTAGCAAAGGAAAATAATATACTAACTTAAATAGAGTAACAACTCCAAGAAGTGATGTCTGGCTCAATTCAATTGATGTTATGCATTAATGCCACACCTATGTGTCTTTACTCATAAATACTAACGACCTTACAAAAAGAAAAATGTCTTAACTAGAAGTTTTTCTGAGAAGTGCAAATATATTGAAGCTAATTTTTTACTTTATCCACCTTCCACTACTCTGGGGAATTTTTGTTGCTGTTGTTGTATTCAGCATCTGTGGCCCAGCCTTTCTTTCCCTCTGGCCTTTCTTCTGTATTTAGAGACTTTGTGTAAAAATACCAGTAGTGACTGCAGTGACATGTGTTACCTGAACAACTCAGGGCTTTTATTCCCTGCCAGGGCCCTTTGCCTGCTTTTTCTTGGACCAACTTGATCCAGAATTCTGAGAATATTACTTTTCTGAGAGATAATTGACAAATATATCTGTATATATTTTAAGTACACACCATGATGATTTGATATTCATACACAAGGTAGAAAGATCACAAGATCAAGACGACACAGCCATCACGTCACATAGTTAACACAGGTAACTCTGCTTTCATGTGTGGTGAGAATGCTTATGATTCTTCTCAGCAACTGGCAAGCATACAATATCATGTTATTAACTGCAGTCACTGTGCACACCATGTACAGTACATTAGAGAATCCAATAGCCTTTCCTTCACACCCAGGAATCTACTTTTATTCCATCCTCTGTGTTAACAGGTCAGCTTTTCCACCAGACTATGTGTTCCTTGTGGGCTGGGCTTTCTCCACTTCTGTATCTCTCCTAACATTTAGCACAATGTCCATACATGGTTGGGATTTAATTCCTAAATTAAGTGAAACTGAGTCATGTTTTTTAAATTTATTTGTGTTTCACATAACACCTGGAAGAGTGTCAGGCACATTAGAGCTTTCAGAAAATATGTAATGAAGGAATGATTAATTAATACTCACGTGTCTTTTCAATCACTTCTCCCTTATACAAGGGGACATTTCTGCAGAGCTGCTCGATGGGTGACCCAAACACAAGCCATTTCAAATCTGTGATCAGAGACTGCAGTGGGTTGTACTTGACCCAGGTATATTTGTTGGATAACATGGTGTTCAGAGTCTAGATCAGTATAATAGAGATTAGGTAGAGATAAATTGACATAATCTGGTGTACCTCATTCTAAATGGCGACTTTTTCAGATTATTAAATAGAAGGTCAGGGGTCTCTAGGTATCACCTCTTTCTGACCACTTGGTCTTCAGAGAAGCCTTGCTATTACTAACATTATTTTGCTGGTGGTAACAGTGAAACTGAAGAGAGTGATTGCTGTGCCCAAGGTGGCACAAATGGAAAGCTATGGAGGGAGAAACACACCCCAGATTTCTAGCTTCATGCAGCATTTGTTTATTTTGGTTGTACTATATTGTTTCTTTGCACCTTGCATCATTGGATATTATAACTCCACTTCTTTTTTTGCCGTCTGCTATTTCTTAGAGCCTTGCTCTGAGGAAAGAAGTTGGGTAGCCCTTTCCACAGAAACACTGAAATTTATGAAAAGTTCTTGTATTTGAGGTTGTATGGTAGAAATCAAGCTAAGAGATGTACTCCAGCAACAAAAACAATAAATGTGAAAATACTAGTAAGTGGAGAGTAGTAAGGTATAGTATGATCCCTTTATCCTCTTCATTTTTCCATAGTCACCCATAATCCCTGGCTCAAGAATGGGAAGTATCTACCTGCATCTCATAGATGTATCGTCTGAGTTGGTCCAGGGCAGGGATAGATTTGTGGTCCATCTTCAGGATGTAGCACGCCCTTCGGGAGAACATCCTGGATGCGATGTAGTCCTGAGACAGCAAGAGCACAGTTATTGCCCCTCCCAACTCCCTGGGTTCTGAACTTGGTGAGAGTGACATATGAACCATGAGAAAGCCTTGAGCATGCACAGTGAGTACATGTGACTCCTCTTCAATCTGCAGTCAGTCCTGTCCACTTGACTTCTTTGACATAGTATTTTCACTTTTTTGCTTGTCATCTCTGTCTCTGAAATTGTGAGAACCCAAGATTTGTGCCCCACTTTTCATGTCTTGCAAGGGTCTGTAGTTTGTGATCTGAAGGACTGAGAAGCAGAGCTCTCTGGCTCTTTCTATTTATTTTGTCCAGCCTCTTCCTGGATTTGGAGAACATACAGTATTCTTTAGAACTATGCTTCCCAATATATTAGTTATTAGTCACATATAGCTCTTTAAATTTAAAATCAAAATCAATATAATTTAAAATGTACTTTCTCTGTCACATTTTTTAAGGACTCAATAGCCACAAGTGGCTAGCTGCTTCCCTATTGGAAAAATGCAGATGTTGAACATTTCCATCACCACAGAAAGTTCCACTGGATACTGTTGCTTTGGAAACTGTCCTTATCATACCTGCACCTACCTTCACCCCCCACACATACATGCTTCATATGTTCTTCCCTCCTCTGCCACCTTTTCTCTACCTCTGAAATAAGCTGTCTGGTTAGAGATGGGTTGGAAAAGTTGGAATTGGAAGAGCAGTTTGGGATGAGTACCATGGAGTCAGAAGGAACCTGAGGCCATCTAATCCTCAGCTAGGGCGGAACTCTTCAGAGTTTCAAATAATGATACACTCTGTAAGACATAAACCCTTCTACTTCCTATTTTTTCACTTCTCACAAATTGCCAGTTCCTAAAATTCAAAAATAGACAGGCCAAGTGTGACGATAGTGGAAGAGGCTTAAACCAAATCCTCACCACTCCATTTTTTAAGATACTTTTAGGATTTCTTTGGCAACTGCCTAGAAACAATTTCAGTACAATTTCCTATTAAACTGTATTTTCTCAAAGACCCCACACTCTCAAATGTGGAACTCCCTATACCAGTGGGGAGGAAGCACGTGAGGACATTTCCACAAGAAAAGGAGGAAAGCATATTCAGATGCCCAGGGAAGTGAATGATAACCCTCCCATATCCACTGGGCACAGCTAAAAGCAAACTCATAATGTTAGTGGAATAAACAGAAAACAAACAGAGGAAGACATGGATAAAGGACAGAATAAGTTTTCTGAGTAGGTTTCTGAGACTGTTAATAACAGCAACTAAAACTTGGAAATAGTTTGGTGTTTTTAATTAACATACTCGCCTTCTTACAGAAGAAGCATGATTTATTGTGTAGCCTATGTACCTACTTAAATGTGTATAGTTGTTCTGGATTTCTGGCAATTTGGAACTTTCTCATAATTGGTCTTTTTTGTATAATATTTTGTTTTAGAAGCCCTAATTCATTTTTACTTATCTGACAAATATTTTTGAGAATCTGTGTTCCAGGCATTGCTTTGGGCTTTGCTCATTCTTTCTGAGGCTGTAGTGAGACAATAGCATCACACTTCCAATTTCCACCTGAAAAGGTCAAGTAAACATGTGTTCCTGTCATGTTTTTTTCTTAGAAATGATTTTTGCTTGTTTGTTAATCAATAGGTTGATTATTTAAAAGGAAAAGCAGAAGTAAGGACATTCTGATGGAATTGCAGGACACATTTTTAAATCAAATGTGTCCAAAATGTCTGCCCCTCTGCCCTTCAGAAACCCAGTCTTGAAGAATACAAAAATTCCCTTGTTGCTTACATGTTTATAGTCAAAAACCGTGGTAGAGGAGCACCGTCCTGCATGGATGTTAACGATGGCGACATTTTTTTCACTGTCAATTGTCACTGTCTCTTGAATATTCCCACCATTGTTGTTTGGGCTGATGATGTTATATACCTAGATTGACAACAAAGACAATGGTTTTTCCACAAATCCCATGCATTTGAAAGGATCCGTCCCAGCAAAATAAAGCCTTCCACCTTCTACGAACAAGAAATTAAAGCCTAAAACATCTCTTCTGAGTTCCCAGACCAAAAACACATGTTAAAATAAGAATGTAAAACTCTTCCTCATAGCTGACTATATATTATATAGGAGAAGCAATGACATCACAGGAGAAATGAGATTGGCCATATTTTAAAGCAACTGTTTACATTTTTTAAGGTATTATAGTTGGAAAGAAATAATCGATCTTGTTGTTTCCATTATTTGTTATTTCTCGGATTCTATCCCAAATAATATGGACTTTCTACTGTCCTTCAATTATCTTGTTTCTTCCTTTTCCTTTCCCAACATCTCCAAGCTATAAAGTTCATAATGAATCAACTCACCTCAAATCCATAAGATTGTGTTCCAAAGGTGGCTAGCACCACCAGAAATAACACCTGAAAAACAGATCAGTCACTTTCATCCCTTATAATGTAATCATTGAAGATAGAGGAATGAGGGAACACTGAGCAGAACAAGCATAAACATCTCAGAAAACACACACCCAGAGACACTGGTGTGTGGTTATGGACCATCAACAGTCCATTTCCAAAGTATAAAGTACACACACATTCACTCATTTAACAGGTATTTTTTGAGTTCATGATTTGCCAGACACAAGGTTCTACCTCTGTCACCCAATCCCCAGCCCTTTCCAACATCAAAAACTTTTATGTATCATGTGTGTTCTCCTGCCAGGAAGAAGTTGGGGCAGATGAGCAGTGAGAAGTGACTGATTTGACTGTGGGAATACCCTGGTGTGATTCATTCTGGTTTCGAACTGCAAGAGGTTGATTTGTGTCTTCTGGTAAAAAGAGTGGGGGAGGGTGGTGGTAAAACAGTAAATCCACTAAAAGTGGATTTATGGGCAATAGAATGGATTTCTAAGGGAAACTATGAAAATAAGATGCTTTGGACATGATTAACTTTTGAGGTTGACATCAAGGGAAATCTCCTTGTTCTCCTACAACCCATGCCTTAATCAGACAAATGTTAGGCGCCTCAGCAGGCCATGGAACTGATACTGAGGCAGTTCTGACATTTTACTGTACTCGTGTGTAAAAGTGAAGTGCAATATTCTTATCCTGGCTTTATACAGTCTCTTCTGACATCACAGTGACCTGTACCATTATTGAAAACTGCAGCTGGAGGGGGTCTTCTGGAAGGCAGGTATTTTTGAGAACAGTCAGTGGGACTTTTCTATAGCACTTTTTATATTGCCAAAAACACTGCTCTCCTGATGACTGGGGGCAGTGTCTAGCAAAGACCTGTGTGCAGATATCCCACCTGCTCACTTGCATAGGGTCACGTCTTCTTTGACTTTAGGTGGCTCCGGTAGCCTCTGACACTTCCATGCTATTCTTTTTTTTTTTTTTAAACTTTTTTATATTGTTGTTCAAATACAGTTGTCTCCATTTCCCCACTACCACTCCCTCCCACCCTCATGCTATTCTGTTAGTGGATTTAATACAGGGGTGTGAACAGGTAGATGGAGGACTGACTACCTTAGTGATATTATTAGAGAGAGCTAAGGAAGTAGCCCCAAATAACCACCCATCCAACACTGAGATTAATATTACACAGTCATAGGTTTGTGACTCAGGTTAGGTCTCCTCTTGGAAAATCAAGAGACTCCTGGAAGAAGAAACTCTTTAAACTTACAGTCTTTAGCACCTTATGGGGAGGTACTTATCATTCTGCTTTCTCACTCAGCTTCTATAAGGAATAGAGACTGGGGGAAGGAGTTCTGATATAGATCAGAACATAGTCCAATTGCCCGTGGAGCACTGCGGTGAGGAGCTTTGGGAAAGAGTGGGATCGGGGCTGCGGTCAGCTGGAGGAGTAGGAGTGGTCATGACAGAGATGCTTTGTCATGATTTCTCCTGTAAGTGGGGCCTATGCTGGGTAAATTTCAAGGTTAAATTCCAAATTCACTGGCTTGGGAAAATCACATTCTTCTATGCCTCAGTCTTCTCATCTGTAAAATTGGGTAGTACTACTTAGCTCTTAGAGTTGTTGAAGTGAATCGATGAAATTATTCATGTGAAATGTTTAGCATAAGGCCTAGTATACATTTAGGAAATGATTGCTGCTATTATTACTATTCTTAATATTACTGATATTATTATTTTTAAATTACTACTTCTCTTTTAGACAGTAAATGCAGTTATTCTAAAATAATTACTTTCCCTCTAAAACTCATAATAAAAATTATTATTAAATATCTTCCAAATTAAAATTCTCTGGATATTTCCAAAAAAATTTTTTTAGTAAACACCTCAATAAGTAGACAATAGACAAATAAATATTCAACTTAATATGCAACACTATTCCTGACAAAGATATCATTAATTCAATCACAGAAGCTCAGAAGCATGTACAGTGTTTGTCTAAGAACCCTGAAATCCAGGACATATTGGGTATGAACATTCTTTGCAGGTAGCCACCATAAGAGCATAAAGAAACATAAGCAAATACTCACAAGGATTTTCATTTTGTCTGAAGGGAAATGGTGCTGGAGCAAGTAAGGCTGCCTGGAGCAGCTTCTACCCTTTATATTGGCTTTAAAGTGTGGAAATCTCTTTCCAACCTGATCATTTTGGAGAAACCTGTGTCATATCTGACACACCCCAGCAAACTCCTTTATCAGGATTGCGACCCAACCACATAACTTAATATCAATGACGTCCATTAGTCAGTAATGAAATTCACCGCTTGGTTACTCTGTAAACGTTCCCTGCTTATCTGCTCTCTGTTGCACTTGAGAGTTCAATTTCCACCCTTTAAAAACATTGCAAGATGTTTGTTTTCCACAAACTTGTCACAGACATATAAGGGCATATTCTTAATATTGCCCTCTGATGGTAAAGTCCTCTCCTCAGACCTGAGGTGGGCCCCACTCAGTGTCTTTTTGTCCCTGCTTGCTGGATTCCTCCATCTAAGGAATAGACATGAGACTGGAGGCAAGGACAGTGGTTGAGGGGAGCCTGTTTCGAGAACAAACAACCTTTTACTTTATTTCTCCTCCCTTTTAGAGTTTGTTCCAATTTCCAGAAATTCATGAGAAACAGGGCTCAGAGATTTCTCTACCCAATTTCCAGGGTTAACCAAATTTTTACATTAAGCATTGCCCAAAACACAGTGAAAACTGTGATTTATAGATCTCTTAGTTATCTTGAGGTGTATTGAAAAATTCTCAGATTCAAAAAATAAAGAGAATAAAGTTTAATTTGTTTCATTTTTATAATGCTACAGTCAAAAAAATCTAGCTAGTGGAAGGTGGGATAATGAACTCAGAAGGTGGAGAAATACAAAAACAAACAAGAAATTACAAAGGTGTTACATACTGTGAAGCACTACAGTAGGTGAAGAAGTAGCATGTGTGACATCCTTAATCTACAACTACACTGACTTTGGGGCAATTTGGGGATTTCCTGGTTCACTGGGATTCTGCTCTGCAGGCTGTTTAGCTGGGGTAGATGTAAAATGTGATTTTTTTTCTTAAGCTTTCTGAGATAGCAGCAGCAAGAAGGATTACAGTTTTGTGGTGTGTCTGTCACTTTGCTCCCGTATCTGGCTCCAAAATGCCCCCAAAGCAAGCTGGTTCCCACTCCTGTAGACATGAGGGCAGACAGAGGTACTACCTCTTACCCTCTACTTAGTCTCCTGCCTGTCCACAGGGGTTCTGAGTTCATAGGCTTCCTAATGATAATAGTTAGCATTTATGAAGTACTTGATATGTTCTAGCACTTATGAAAATCCAAAGTAAAAATTGTATTGGCCATATCAATTGATGACAAGCAAAAACATATTTACATTCTTCATTGTTTCTTTTGTTATATAAATAACCACTCCTTTAGTGACCCTAAATTCACATCCTAAGGCCATAACATAACCTATCCTCTGCTCTCTCACTCTCCCAAATTTCCTCTTTGATATGGTGCAGTCAATCTATAAATTCATTACCATGTTGTCTTTTCTTTTTCTTCCTTCCTTCCTTCCTTCCTTCCTTCCTTCCTTCCTTCCTTCCTTCCTTCCTTCCTTCCTTCCTTCCTTCCTTCCTTCCTTTCTTTCTTTCTTTCTTTCTTTCTTTCTTTCTTTCTTTCTTTCTTTCTTTCTTTCTTTCTTTCTTTCTTTCTTTCTTTCTTCTTTCTTTTTTTTGCCATACCCAAGAAAAGGCTCAAAACTGCTGTTAGGGAAGAAAAAAGATTCATCTAAATAGTCCTGGAATGACGGTATACTTATTTGGGCAAGCTAATGTAGATCTTATCATAAAAAAATAATTCCCAATTTAAAAAAAAAAACATGTAAGCAATGTGTTGGGGGAATAAATGGTGATGGAAACAAATAAAATGAAATAAAAAATTTAAAAAGGAAGCAAATAAGAAAAACACTGCAAGAAAATACAAGTAAACTTTGATCTAATTTTGGCAACACAAGAGATTTTTTTCCAAGCCTAAAAGTATTAGAATAAATAATAAAAATAAAGATATATAAGCCTAATTGCATAAAATATAAGAAGATAATTGGTCTTTAAAAGCAAAAATTAAAGGCAAATTTAAAACTCAAGAAAATACTTTTAACATGTGAGAAACAAAGGTAATATTCTGTTTCCTTAAAAATAAATGGCATTCTTTGGTTTTGTTTTTTAAAAGATTTTATTTATTTATTTTTAGAGAGAGGGGAAGGGAGAGAGAAATAAAGGGGGAGAAACATTAATGTATGAGAGATACATGAATTGGTTGCCTCTTACAGAACCCCAGCTGGGGACCTGGCCTATAACCTAGGCATGTGCCCTGACTAGGAATTGAACCTGGGACCTTGCAGGTTGCAGGCTGGTGCTCAGTCCACAAGTCACACCAGTGAGGGCAGCATTCTTTATTTTTATTATTAATAAACTGTCAAGGGCTTATTAGAAATCTTCAAAGAATAATATTTTCAATTTACAAAATGTTTTTATGAAATCACAGGAAAATAATGAAGAAATACAATTTTTTTTTAACGGCCAAAGAATCTAATTAGAGGAAGAGGAAGCACTAACAAGAGTTGGTGAAGAGCTGAAGCTCCAGAAACATCCCCTTTGAATTTCAACTTCTCTAATTTCTTATGTGGAAAGAAAGGATAGCAAAGTGCCTGCTCAAAACATCTTTGTGGATTGGGAAGATGGGGACAGAGTAGGATGGAGCAGATTGCACTTCCCCCTACACGTGGGAGAAAAACCTGGCCGATCTATGGAGGAACAGAGCAAACAGCCAACAGTACCCCAGCATACATGAAAATAAGAGATCAGAAATTGTAGCAGACACTGAAAAACCAGACAGTAAGGAGACAGCTGCAGAACAATAAGGTCCCATGGACCACTGCAGAGACAGGGGCAGTGACAGCCTCGGTCCTGCACCCACCACCTGGCACTGGGTCTACCACAGACTCCTTGGAAGCAGCGGGCCTGCCACAGAGTCCTTGGGAGAGAGCCAGGTCAACTGTTCCCTCCCTCCCCAGCCAAGCAGGGTTTGAGCAGCACCAGGAGAGACCGGGTTGCTTAAAGTTGCAGAGAGGAGAATAAGGACAAAGAGGCAAACACACAATGGCTATGATCATCCGTAGAGTCTGTGGTCACTGACTTGGGAGAGTTGAGAGTCTCTGACCCCAATAGTCACTGGTCTGGCTGGAGAATTGAGCTATACTGAGTGGCAGGCTTGAGTAGGAGGAATTTCTCAAAAAGTAAAACTGTTTGGGGGATTCTCCTACTATAGCAGCACACCACCTAGTCAGGTGAAAGGCCCTGCCTTCCCCCTTAGCACTGGGAAGGGTTCCTGCCCAAGCCCTCAAAACCCAGGGGGCCTGGCAGGGCACACATGCCTGCACCCCACCCCATGGTGATGACCCCTGAGGAAAGAGTGCTCTAAAGAAGACCTGGATCCCCCATGCGGGGCACTGGGGAGACATGCCAGACTAGCTCTTGGGAGAGTGCACGCAAGACTGGCTGAGTACACACTGGGGAGGGAGAAAAGCCACACCAATCACCCCTCAACTTGCTGCAGACGGCAAGACCAGAAAAACTGGTTTTGCCAGTTTGAAACCAACGAGAGGTGTTTCTTCTTTTTTAAGTAATCTTTTATTTTTTAAACTTTACTACTGTTTTATCTTTCAATACCTTTTTCCTCTCTTCCCTTCTTTTTTGTTTTATTCCTTCTTCCTTATTTCCAAACTTATCTCTTCTTCCTCCCTTCTCCTGCCTTTTTTTTTTTTACCCACAAGGGAGACAAAAAACTTGGAACTGTGAAAGGACCAGAGTTGAACCCAAAGAGGGGGCATCCCAACAGTAGAGACAGAGAGACAAATTTTACTTTGCTATAGAAGAGAAACTACAAGTTACTGCATATTTGTATTATTATTTTTTCCATTATTCTTACATCTTTTATTTTAATAGTATCTTTGTATCCCTCTTCTTTCTGTAAAATCTTCTTTGCCTTGGCTGCTTATATTGTATCATTTGACAGGTTTCCCCCGTTCTCTCTTCCACAGTGCATTGCTAATTTACTATCCTTCATGTCACTTGTGTTCATTTGGGACATTACTCAAAGTTCTGTACCCCCTATTCATGTTATCTAGATCATATAGATTCCGTCACATGATTGTTGATCTAATATTATTGTAAATAATAGCAGTTCCATACAATTGTAAATACTTCACAACACCCCTCCCGGATCTTAGCCCACTGCACAGTTTCCTGAACTTTATTACTGTAGTGGTTAACTCTATTCTCTCTCACACTACACCTATTTACTATCCTTAACTCTCACCTTACCTCATAATATAACCTCCCACAACCTCAATGCTTTCTAGATCCAACTCACAAGCCTTCCCTCCCCAACGAGAGTCTTATCTTTTTTCCACCCTTTCTTAAAAGTGGCTAGTTGGGTTGAAGATTATGGTTAACACTATACACAGCCAAAGGATCTCCTATCTCTTCTCTACTGGTGTTACTGTAAATATCATAGAATACTCTCCTGCTGTCATAAACCATTTTGCCTTCTCCTCCAACTGATCACACAAAAAAGAGTAGGTGGAAGAGGTGAACACCAGGATACTCACTGGAAGAGGAAACCCAACAACAAAGGAACCACCAACAGACAACAACAGAAGAAGGTGAAGGAAGGAGGGGAAACCACACAAACCTCAATCCAAGACCTATCTGGAAATACAATTAAATAGTGGAGAAACTAACCAGTACAAACAACTAAACAAGAGCAAAAGAGAATCCTCAAAACCTTGTACACACAGAAGAACTAGCTTCAACACAACCTGCCCTCACCAGCACAACAAATTACAACAGGTGGTGAACAGAGGGACCATTAATTAACCAGCTAGTGGGAAGGACCCACAAAAGAAAGACCTCCCAAACAACCAAAACCCAAAGACAAACAAAGAGCCAACTTAAAGGACAGCCCAAGACCAGTGAGCTTGGGAGATCAAGAAGACTACATCACTGAATCTCACAGGTATTCTACCACAGAAGTTCACACCATAAACCCAGGAAGCCAGAACA